CCCGGACGAGCTTTCCTTCCGCAAGGGCGACATCATGACGGTGCTGGAGCGCAACACGCAAGGGCTGGATGGCTGGTGGCTCTGCTCGCTCCACGGGCGGCAGGGTATCGTCCCCGGTAACCGCCTCAAGATCCTGGTGGGAATGTACGACAAGAAGCAGCAGCAGCAGCAGCAAGCGCCTGGCCCTGCGCAGGGACAGGCACCACCACAGCCGTCAGTGTCCCAGTTGTCTCTGCCTTACCACCATCAAGGGGGCTTCACCCCACTGTCACCTGCCTCACAGTACACACCCATGCACCCTGCTTATGCCCCTCAAGGGGACAATGTCTACCTGATGCCAGTCCCCAGCAAGGGACAGCAGGGCCTGTACCCAGGCTCAGCACCCACTGGACAGTTTCCACCTGCCCCACCTAAGCAGCCACCTGCCTACCAGCAGCCCCCTGCCTACCAGAAGCAGACACCTCCCCATGCCTTCCCCAGCCCTGGCCAGGAGATCTACCAGGTGCCCCCCTCACTGGGCCAAGCAGCAGAGGCGTACCCTGGGGGCTCTGCCAGCCCCCCCCAGGACGTCTACCAGGTTCCCCCCTCGGCCAGTCAGGCTCAAGACATCTATCAGGTGCCCCCGTCGTTGGACATGAGGAGCTGGGAAGGGCACAAGGCCCAAGGAAAGGTAGGATGAGGGAACTGGGGGTGGTATTATGGCTGTGGGGCTCTCTGTGGTCCATGGTAGCAAGTGGGTGATAGGGCTACAGGGCTCTTACCTGCCCACCACTGTCTTTGGGAGTGGGCAGTCCTTTTGCTCATCACAGAGGGTGTGTGGACATCCTTGCCCGCTCCAGAGGCAGGAGCGGGTGTGCTTGGGGTGTCCCTGTGCTGGCTGAGGTGCTCAGGTTAGTGTGGTCTTCCCAGCTTGGGGCTGCCACAGCATTTGGCACTCAGGTCCTCTTCGTCTCTACCATGGGCTCTGCCAGTGTCTGGTACAGGCATAGGCTGCTGGTAACCCAGGAGCTGCTTGGAAATGCCCCTTGGCCGTATCCCACGGCTGTCGAGGTGGCTATGGTACCTGGTATGGCACTATGATCTCTCTTTCCTCCTTGGGAGTGTGGGCAGGGACAGGCAGCCAGTGCCAGCATGTCCCAGCCTAGCCAAGGAGACTGCCAGTGCTTGCCAGTTGGGTTTACTGGTTAGGCGGGGGTGAGCCACCAGCCTGTCCCCAGTACAGGGACCCTGTCCAGGTCAGCCTAACGGCTGCATCCTGAACACTGGGCACTTCCTGGCTCTGCCCCTTCCCGGGCACGTCATTCCGGGGAAGAGGAGCAAGATGTTTTCAGCATCGTGTTTTCCCGGTATGCTGCCCTGACTAAACCCCTTAGGAAACAGCTGGTGAGGGGCGGTGAGGCTGCAATCACTGCCAGTGCGTGGGGAGCATTCTAAAGGGAGGACCAGCCTGGCATCTCTGCCAGTGGCTCAGCCCATCTTGTCCCAGGGTGCTGTGACCCCCTGGATTTGGTTCTGTGCTGCTGTCGTGTCCCCAGGGTGGGAGGTGCTGAGCCATGGGCAGGGACCTACTGTACCCGCCGGCTACTGGCAGGTCGTTGCCCACG